TAATTGGACTTAAAGCCCACTCAATGGGAGGAAACTCATGTCTAGTAATGTAAACCTAGCCAAATACACACAGTTGGAGAGGTCATAGATCTCAGAGAAAACTCTAAGCCTGTCACATCCCTAGACAAATGTAATATGGATCCTTAAATCTACAGACAAGTATCCCAGTCACCACCCATCAAAGAAGCTTGTTTTTTAAGACACAGAGATAATGACAGAGTTCTACAACTGGTCACACACAGAGATTCTCTGTGAATTGTCCAAGCCTAAGCGGCACATCTAGGATGCAACCTCTACACCTAGGGCTCAGGGAACACTACTGCGTCTTTCAACTCTTAACAGTGAAGTGCCCTTATGCAACAGAGGGCCAGGAACGCAAAAGATCACAAATGGCCAAATGCAGAGAATAAGAATCTGTAGGCTGTGGGTCCTTGAAAAGGACTCCTATATTAAAATCCGCCCACCCAGGGCTCAGGATCATTGCAGAAGAGGGGGTGGAAAGATTTTAAGAGCCAGGGAGGAGGTGCACAACCTTACAGAAATGAGCCTCCAGGCTCCTGGGACTCTTCTCATATGAACCTACAGCAACCGTGTCGGCATACACAAGACCCAGCACAGAACCGTGGAAATGAGCAGCAGGCCCCAATCTTAGTCGAAGAATTATTGATAGCTGATTACTACTGGGTGAGGAAGAGCTGATCTTCTTAAAGGGAGAGACTCTAGATAAGTTGACTAGACCCCAGTGGATGAACTTGCATTGAGGGACATCTGGAGATACTAACTTGACATGACAGGCCTTAACACAAATGATAAAAGGTATGAACTCCAGTGAGGGCGCTACAGGAGGGTGCCAACGGGGAAGGGGTATAAAGATGACTTTCTGTATGATATACACAAAAATTCAATTAAAAAAATTTTTAATCCTTAGGGGAGGGCTGGAGAGATGGCTCAGCGGTTAAGAACACTGACTGTTCTTGCAGAAGACCCTGGTTTGAATCTCAGCACCCACATGGCAGCTAACAACTGTCCATAACTCCAGTCCCAGGGGATCCAACAGCCTCTTCTGTCCTCCACAGGCATTGCACGACACGGGCCCACTTACCTACACGCAGGCAATACAAGCATACACACAAAATTAAAAAAAAAAAAAATCCTTAGAGGAGGCCAGGCGTGGTGGCACACGCCTTTAATACCAGCACTTGGGAGGCAGAGCTCCAAGGCAGGCACTTGGAGCTCTGTGAGTTCAAGGCCAGCCTGGTCTACAGGGAGCCCCAGTCTCAAAAAGACCAAATAACAACAAAAAAAAAAAACCCTTAGGGAAGGGTGTGGTCTTATGAGCCCCTACCTCTTCCATGATACAAAGTTCCTAAGTGCAATCTTGTGCAAACCTTCCAGTATCAGTTGCTGACCATTCAAAAGAGTAGCTGCCATGCCTTGCCTGGTGTCCCACAATAGCAAATATTGTCCTAAGATTTTTATTAAAATATTTCCAGGACTGAGGATGCAGTGCAGTGCAGTTGGTAGAGGGCTTGCCTAGCATGTACAAAGCCCTGGGTTCAAGTCCCAGCACCCTATAAACCAGGTATAGTGACACACACCTGTAATACCAGCAGTCGGGAGATAGCAGG